GCCCGGCCCGGCCCGGCCCGGCTCTCTCCTCTTCTCCCCTCCCCTCTCCTCAGGCGTCACGTTCGTTAGTGCAGACTTGGGTTGTTAACGTTGCTAGCGTGACCGTAGAGTCGCTGAGATGAGAATTGTGGTCATGCCTTGACTGTATTTGTATTATACTTTTATTGGAAGCGTTTGAATACCTTACAGGCTTTGCGTCAATAGCTCTATCGAAGCCATTACTGCATTTAAGCAATTCCTCATCAAAGCAATTACTATAAATGTGTTTAGCATTTGTGTTCTCAAATGTTAGTTTAAAAAAACCACTTTTATTATATTTTTATTATTCAAACTTTAGCAGAACAGATTTGTAGGGTTAAAAATTACCTCTGTCTGGGAGAGCCCGGAGCCTGCGGGGTCACCCGGAGACACGCTGTGTCCTGGGCTGCTCCCCTGACCCTGGGGGAATTAAAGAAAACGGCAGAGATTTCGTAGTGTTGTTACGTAAGTCAAGGAAAATTACCCTCACGGTTATAGTAAGCACGGGGTTATCACGTCCCCAGCTTCATGGTTCAGTTTTTTGCCCTTGCTGATGATGTGGGGTGGTTTTTTTTGGCTGGGGGTGAGGGTTGTGTTTGTTTAAAACAGCTAAATCTAGCATGGTTTGTGATAAGACCGTGAAGCAGCATGCTGAAAATAGTCCACCTGGCACAGGTGAATAATCAAACACATGCTTTTAGATGAAGCAACGCTGAAGGGAATTGATGGAAGTAATGCCCTGGTCCTGCCAGCCAAAAAAGCAAAGAAGAAAAAAGTAGCATGTGTTGTGCAACAGCAGAAGAAACCCCTAAGCAAGAAACAGAAGAAAAACCTGCACAAAATTTTAGAGCAGAAGGAGAAGAAAAGACAGGTACGTTGCTGCATGCTGGTAACTCCAGCTTTGTGACTTCTGTTAAAACAATAATTCAATATTGGCGTATGGAAAAGGTCGATGTTAACAAGCAGCTTTTGAGGTTTCCCTTGCACTGTGACTCTGGCAATCCCTGATACATGATGCGATTGCGTTGCTGGTGTGAAAAACCAGAGGTGGAACAGCTGCTCTGCAGTGCCAGCGAGCGGTGTTTGGGATGTGAACTATCAGGGGTGTCTCAAGGACGTGCAGATCCTGAATTTTAAGAGTTCACATTACAAGAGCATTAGACATCCCGTTGCTGGGCATTTTGGTCAAAAACATGCCACCACCCATGGACTCTCAAGTGTTAGCTTCAGTGGGGAAAAGCATTCACCTCCCTCTCAGTGGATCAGCTGTTGCAGGAACTTGTCATATCTGGGTCCTGGTTCCCATTCTCTCTTTGACCCTGAGTGAATAGATGAGTGTCGTGAAATACATCAGCAGAGTAAATGACATTGTTCTGTGAAACAGATTGTATGAGAAGCTTTGTCCTTCTGCAAAATGCAAAGGTTGATGCCCCAAACTCTGCTACTGCTGGTGTTTCTGAAATACTCATTTCCAGCTCTTGTATATTTTCTGTATGCAAATAGAGCTTTTCTGTCTTTGTAAAAGCTTTCCAGGCAAAACTCCTGTTCATTTTAGTGTCTGAATAATGGTTTTGACAAATGAGCTCTATTTTTAGAGGTAGTTTAAGACTGCATCTGTCTGACCTCCTGTCAGCACTATGTCCCACATGTGGGAGTTGAAGGGAGGCTTCCATTGCTCCAGCCCTCACTCCAGCATTTTAGTTCAAATCCGTTTTCTTTGCTGTTGTTTCAAGGGTGCAGCTGAGCTTTTCGTTGCAGCGATGAAGGGTCAAGTCTGCATTTGTATTTTTGCTCTAGTGCAGGGCTGAAATCTTCATCGGGAAGGACTGACCATGTAGCAGAAGGAACGTCTTTACAACTTCCCAGCAAGGTTTTGCCAGAGCACACCCTTTAAAACTCAAGTGCAAATCTTGAAAGGAAATTATTTCCTGGTGAAAATAAGCACTGACTTTGGTTGTTTTTCCCCAAATAGCGAGCGGAATGGCTGAACAAGCTGAATGAGGTCCAAGCTTCTGAGGCAGAAATGAAACTCCTGTACACTACTTCCAAACTGGGTATTGGGGAGCGCATGTATCAGACTAAAAGGTAAAGCATTATTTGGAAAGAACCATTCTGGTTTATCACTGTGGTTGAAAACTTGGCAGCCTTCTTAGCTTTTTTTTGCTTGGTTTTTTTTGTTTTGTTTTTTTTTTTTTCTTCTTACTGCATACAGGTTCTTCAGAATGGATCGAGTTAAATAATTTTCTATTTTTATCTGATAGTATGGTAGTTATTTTCTTGTTTGACTGACAATCTTTTGAGAGAATGTTAGTTAAAATAACTGGGTCTTCCCTTTCATAAGGGACAAGGTGGGTGACAATTATATCTGCATACTCTTATGTCAAACTACATAATTGGTGGATAAATGTTTACTTTTTTGTTGTATTGGAAAATATCGATTGATAGTTACTGGATAGTTACTGGATTTATCGAGAGCTGCATTTTGACAGAAGTTGAAATAAATTAAACTACAGACATGTTCTGAAGAAATGAGTAAATGTCAGTATAGCGTGTGCTTAGATATGAATCCAGCAATCAGGTCAGCTGAGGGTTTACCTAGCAGAGTTGTGCAAACCTCCAAGAATGGAGATCTGTGGAGAACTGGGTTAACCTCTCTGCGTAACATCTTCTTGTGCTGCACTACACCTCAGGTGTAGAAGTTTTCCCTATTTGAGTAAAACCTGGGTTCAGGCTCAGCCAGTGACTTTTGATGGTGTGACTTCTCTGGTTTGTGCTGAAGACATGTCTGGCTTGAGGTCCTGGAGAATGTTGACCAAAATGTTCACGTGTTGATGTTTTGTTCTAGGATGATACAGGAGCCAGAGACTGCTGTACCTGAAAAGATTAGGAGCATCAGTGGTGCAAACAAGAGAAGACACAGCTCAGATTCAGAATCGGAGCCTGAGGAAGAACCCAGTAGCTCTGAGGAGGAGAAGGAAGAGCACAAACAAGAAATTGAAAAGTCGTCAGCCAGTGATTTGAATACTGTTGAAAAGCCAGAGGAAGGCATGAAGGCAGCAGTGACTAACCAGAAGCCGGCCAGTCCTCATGTGCCAGTTTGCCAGCCAGCCTCCAACAAACCATCTTGCAAGCCTGCGATTTTCATTCCAGTGGACAGGTCTCCTGAGATTCAGGTGAGACTCTGTGAACAGGAAAGTGCCTATCAAGGGGGTTGGAAATTATGGTATCTTCCATCAGATTAGGTCACTGCAGACCCTGTAGCATTATCTTGTGTCTCTTGCTAATACTGCTTGGCAGCAGCGTGCACTTGGGGTCCGTGTTCTGGCAAGTTGTACATGTACATGTCTGAGCTTTAAGCCTGTCTAATCTAGCAGAAGGAAAACTAGTTTCGTCTTAGGATATAGGCATTTGTCTCTGGCTTTAAATATAGAATCTATTAGCAGTCTTTTATTGTTCTTTGCTGGAAAATCTTGTGATGTCACTTTCAGCTCTCCATTATGCTATATCTTACGCTGGATAGTTTTATTCCATTTGCTGTGGGTAAGGCGTTCTGTACAAATGGGAAAAGCTCTGCATGTGTCTGAACAGACAAGACAGAGTTGTGAAATGAGTTTTTCCTTGAAGTGCTATATTAATAAACTCCAGGGACTCTGGTTTCACAAATTAAAGTGCAGGGCTTGCCAGCTGCTTTCTGGGAAGCTGTTCTGATGACTCTGCGTGTTCTGGGACATGCTCGTGTGGTATTAGCTGGTTTAGAGCTTTTCGAGCCACAAAGCTTGCAGAATTCCTTTTTCTGGGTTTTGTAATCTGAGAAAGGAATCGGTTTTCAATCCTGGGGAAAACAAAAAGGGAGAGAGAGACAAAAAAGTGCAACTGAAATATGTGTTTTATATTATTTAGGAAGCAAGACTAAAGCTTCCAATCCTTGCTGAAGAGCAAGTCATCATGGAAGCCATTAGTGAAAATCCCATTGTGATCATATGTGGAGAGACGGGAAGTGGTAAAACCACACAAGTACCTCAGTTTCTCTATGAAGCTGGCTATGCCAGGTATGAGTCGTCTTTTATATTCAGCAAATGTAATTAGAAAAATTCAAGCTCAACTCAGTCACTTCTGATTTTGTTTCTTTTCTTCTGATATGGCTGAACTGAACCTGAACTGAACCTGGTCTTTTCTGTGCAGTGGTAGTGACCATGTTGAATGGGCTTTTAAAAAATCTGAAGGGAGTAAGACTGAGTTGCAAAAGTCTCTCTCCACGTAACCAATCTTTTGAAACCTCTAGGGTAAAAATTTCCTTCAAAGCCACTGGCCTGTTTTTTACAGAGGGGCTTTATTGTCTGCCCATCTCACATAGTTTAACCTCTGCTTCCAGAGGTTTGTTTTTACTTTTGCAAGAAAATGTGTGTATTTCTTAAGAACATCTTTTAAAATAGCTGTGGCTCATCTGGCACTATTGGTAACATTTATAAGCTTGGGCACTTCATAAGATGCTTCTTGTGAGCTGCATCAGGATGTGTCCAGCTTCTGTGCTGCTGCCCCAGCCTGAGTTTCTTC